AGTTTTCTGTGCGTTCTTGTTGACGTCTCTGACTCCATACAACATGCACAACCTAGTGTTGTCCCTGATCTGCAATGTGCCGGCCGTCCAATCGATCTTGGGGTTGAACTCACGCAGCCACGGTATCCCAAGGATTGCGTCGTGTTGTCCTAGCTTCGTGACCTTGAGCGTAGGCTGGTACTTAAAGTCGTTGATTTGCAGCTCGTAGGATTTCACTTGTTGCTCAGCCTCACGTCGTGGAGGATCACCTGCCATGTGCAGCGTCTGTGTTCCGCTTGTCTCTTTCCAATGGATGCCGTTCTTCTTGCAGAAATCTCGACTGATAAAGTTTTCTGTAGTGCCACTGGCCACCTGGACTCGCAGCCTGATCCCGCCCAATGTTCCTTCTAACAGAAACGGATTTCTTGGTCGTTGTTGTGTCTTGCTTGTCTCAAGGCTGCAGCTGCTGGTTCCGCCTTCCATATTCTGCGTTTTCTGTCGAGCTTCTCTCTCTCTTCGTGCTTGATCCCACTTTATGTAAGCGTAGTATATCCGGTTGTATTCTTTCAATTTATGTGGCCATTTGTACAGGCCCATCTTGCTCACCGTTGTCCACCAATGCGCTTGCCTTCCACGCCAGCTCCTCATTTCATCCCCTACATGCTCTTCTTCATGCGATTTCTTTATTCCTTGCCTGTTGCTCGGCCTCTCCTCATGCCACCCAGTGGCACACTGGTCGTGGGTCAGGATTCTGTGTTGACCGATGGCGGCAAGCGCGTTACGCAGCCGTGATCGCAGTTGCCGCTCTAGCTCGACCTGTCGTGCTACCAAAAGTTGCACCCGCTCCTCCACAGCCTTGCTGAGCCTAGCCTGCCTCCGGTCCGGCTCTGGGGGATCGCCGTGCATTGCCGGCGTCATGTTCCCGCTCAGTGTTTGGCTCATGATCCCGTGAGGTCTCTCTTGACGCTTCTGATTTTCTGTGAAGCGTCACGTCGCTTCAGCGGTGCCTTTTCGGTTTGGAATATCAGCCAAATTCTCTGGCGCTCTGCCTCGTATTTCGACTGCGCCTCCTGGTCGTCGTCTAGTCTTCTGGAAGCCTCTAGACGCTTCCTTACTCTTGGGTCGGTCTCGCAGCTCTCCCGCGTGTTGTTTCCAGTTTTTTGGGCACGTTGTCTCAGCGGTTCTCGTTTAACGGGCCTCAGTTGCCGTTAACGTCTTCGTGACGTCTCGCAGCGCTGCCCCACAGTTCTTCATGCGGCGATCCTTGGGATTGCTCTCCAAGGGTCGTCTCTTCTTTCTGAGGGCGGTCCTTTCGTCGTCGTTCCTTCAGGCTCACTCTCTCTCAATTTCTGCGTGCGCCCCACGCCGGCTCGACTCTGTCTCTCACTTCTTGGCTGCACTCTTGGACTGACGCGTGCCCCTCCGGTTCAACGTTTATCCGGGGCAGCCCGCGCTCCTCAGCAGCTCTCTCCTTCAATTCGCCCTTGGAGCAGGCCTTCGTGACGATGGTCTCGTTCTGTTGGGATGCGGCCGCCATGCGGTTCTCCGAATTGCCGCGGTGATCTGTCGCCCTCAAGTTGTCCTCGTGTTCCCACTTTTGTCTCTTGGTAGCCCGCGTAGCCGACGTCCTCTCAACGCCCAGCCTTGCCTTTACCCTTCGACCTTTAGTATCCTCCTACAAACGCCCTCGGGGCAGGCCTTGTGGCTAACGTCTTCTTGACGTCCAGCCCTTGTTGCCCTCGGGGCGGCCTCTTCGCTGTCGCACTCCGGCGCACAGCGGAACGAACTCGGGTGCCCTCGGGGTAGGCCTTGCGGCTGACGTCTTCTTGATGCCCAACCCTTGTTGCCCTCAGGGCGGCCTCTTTGCTGTTGCACTCCGGCACACAACGGCTTCCAATCTGCTCCTCTTGGGGCCTCACACGCAGTTGACGTCTTCGTGACGTCCCGCTGCGCTACCCTTCGAGTGTATCTTGCATCACCCTCTGCGCTCTCAGCTGCTTTGGGGGGCCTCCAAAACTCCGCCCTTCGACTTCACGTGCTCTTCTCACTCCCTTGAGGCCCTGCCGCCTCTTGTCGTGGGTCAGGTCAATTTGGAGCGCCTTCGTGTCCTCGGCAACTCCTCTGGCTCCGAAACCAGTTGTAAGGGGACGAATTGTTTGTCCCGTGTGGCAATGACTGAAAGTCCTGAGCGACGGGCTTGTGGACGGCTGCGAGTATCCGTGAGGGAGGTGGCAAGGCAGCGGCAAACGGCTCTGAAGTGTGGCGGCAATTTTGGATTACAGTTTGGGCACTTGGGTGCCCTGTTTATATAGGCCGTCGGCTGGCCAGCCGAGCGGCCGCTGACATGATTATTACTTGGGGTTTACATAACCCCTTTGTCAGCGTGCTGTGCCCTTTGGTGTCCCCATTTGTCCCCTTGGTTCCCCGTGTGCCTCCTTGGTTCCCGTCGCACCCCAAGCGACCCATTGTCTCACCCTATTCGCAGCCCTAACCATCTGTCTATGGTACACACTGATTTCATACAAGGGATTGCCTAGTGCATTTGGGCATTCTAAGCTACGGCCCTCACAAGTACAACGATTTCCTAAACTACATAGCTATTCCCAGCTCTGGCCCTCTTCATGCGAGTCTGAATGGCACGAGGCTTGATGTCCAATTACTATGATTAGTACACTGAGCCGCTGGCTGCCATTCTCACACAACACGGAGTATCATGTCTGACTTTTACTAGTGCTCCCAAAAGCGGCAGCCCTTACACTTATCACATGTGTGATACCCAATCGCGGGTCCATTGCGGTCACATCAAGAAAAGGCAACTCAAGTGCGTGTCCAGGCACCATATCGCCGTCCCCAATTCACCTGCAACCGAACCTTTTCTCTTTAGGCTTAAGTACTAGCCCCTATCCGTTCACAACCCTAAGTACTACAATTTTTTAAAACCAATCCTTAAAACCTCCACTCACCATCTCACCATCCAACCATAGCTACCTGGAATAAGCCATGTAAGTCCAACGCTGTGGCCTCTATCTAGCACCTCATGTCTATAGTTGTTTCCTACAAAACCACCACCCTGAGCATGGTAACAACGATGGCGGTGCCCAGGAATTGACAAACGGGATGGTGATGCTTCCTATGCTGCCATCAGACACTTGGGCCCCCAGGGTATATTCCTGGCTTTGAAAACTATGTTAGGTTGGCCGAACCCTCTCTTGCACACTACATAAAGATGATGAATATGATGAGCACTTGCCTATTGCAAACATGGGTATGAAACACTTATAAAAGTTGGCTGCTCTTACGCATTTGTTGCTTGGATCATACAACAAGAAAATTTCTGATGAGGGATTGGGGCACTTGGAAACATGTGTGGATCTTTAATATTTGAACCTTGGTGATCTTGATATCATGGATATGGGATTGTGGTTTATGGAGAGACTCAACTTATAGTGCTGATAGACATCCAACATTTGAATTTGGACAAATGCAATATGATCACAAGCATAAATCTATATTATGTGGGGCAATTGCAGTGTCTTGGGTGCTTATCAATCAGGTTATGTGAGGGAGTGGATGTATAAGTCTGATGTGTGTACGTATTCTATCACCTCTAAAACAGAGAAACCTATAGGAATTGGATATGAGTTACAACAACAACATCACAAATATCGGCCTGGGGCACATAGCAAAATTGAATGGCCTCCAAACATAGGAGTTGTGTGGTCTCCCAAGAATCACAAGAATCTGATGGTTCTATCTAAGCTAAGGGTATTAAGAGTTTTTCAACTGTGCTCATATACTTGAACATATATTGCAATTGCCTGTTGTAAGACACATAGATTTAACGCTAGTAAATTGTGGTGATGTTGTTTATTAGGATTTGCAATTGCCTCATCGTTTAATGTTTGTGAAGTTCTTTTAGTTATGGCCCTAAGGCTCAGGACTTGAGCATATGTTAGCCTGGCAATTTGCCAGTAGCAAACAATGACAAACTTTGCCATATGTTATTACAACCAAGGGTGGCGGATCTCTTTATCAGATGCGACCGCTTTCACAAGTAGTCATTTCTTGTGATTTAAACACCTCACAAACATCAACAAGGTGGTTGAATTAGCAATTGCAATGCCAAAGCAGTATATTAATATGATAGGTTATAAAACGACAGAGCGTCAGCCCCTTATTGTCACATCAACCACTGTGTGGTGTGAATATTCCTACATGTACCGAGCTTGGACATTGGTGTGTTCAAATTCAACAGAATGGCTCCAATATTCAAGTTTTAATGCATGATTCCTTAATGCTAAGCCACGGTACTGACATTAGAAAATAGTGGTGAAAACACCAGCACAACATGACAATCCACAAGAAAGGGCTGGTTGACAATTGATGGTCAGTGCATGTGATGGGACGCACAATGGGCGCACCGGTTGTTAGCTTTCAAACGCCTTATGTGTGGGTGTGTGTCCATTCGAGCTTTTAGCGAGCATGCACGTGTGAGTCTATCATCGCGCCACTTGTGGATGACATCCTAAGGATGACTCATGCTGCAAACGGGTCCTTAGGGTTGATGTGGAATTCTGCCCGTGGCCGTGGCCAAAATGCTGTTTTCCAACGGCGCGAGTGCGCATTTACCCGGTGCCTCACTGCCTTGTTGCGTTACAAATGAATGAAAGATTGTGATGATGACATTCCCCCTCGCCTGCCAGATTGGCATCCCAGGCTTGCCCACACGGCGCATCCCGCAGCCCCATCCTGCCTGTTCTCCTTTCTCGAACAACAGGAATGGGGCGCATCGAATACCGGCGCGGTGGGCGGTTGGGCACCGGGCCCGGCGGCCCCAAGTAGGCACCACGAACCGGCGACCGGCCGTGCGCAGCCAAGCCATGGTAAACCAGGCGTTACGCCAAAGGCCCCAGCGGTAGCCTCCGCATCCCCACCCTCCTGCTCATCCTTGGCGTAGGCGCGGTCATTCTCTCTCGCCTCCCATCCCCCACGAGGGTTGATCGACCCAATCGAACGGCAGCATGAATCACAGTGGTGATGAGCCCGTGGGTGGATCGGCCCAGGGCGTTGAGCGGAGAGCTGATGGCAATGGGGCCTCGGCGGCCGTCTGCGGGGAGAGTTGCCGGGCGGGGCCGGCCAGGGCGTCGGCGGGGGCGGATGCAAAAAAGCTGACGCGCACGAGGTCCGGGAAGACGTTCCACGTGACGTTCACGCCGTCGGCGGGCGATCGGCAGGCGTCGGCAGGTGAGGGGCTGCGATTTGGATGGCAGAAGGTACCGGGGGATCGGTCGATTTGAATCAAGATTCCGAGGAATAGGAACAATCAGGATTCCCCAATTGTCCTGGGACGATCAGGGACAATCAGGTACTCAGGCGGGGTGGGGCGGCGTGGGTGGGTTGGTTGACCGATTCAGATGGGAGCCAGCCTGGAAGAGCCCCTGATCGATGAGGAACATCGAGATTCGGATTGGTGACAGATGATTGGGCGGCAGTGTGTGGGGTGGAGGGACGGGGCAGCGACTGAGATTGCAGCCAGCCTAGAAGGGCGACTGATCGACAGGATTGACAGGGGACAGCGAGATTCCGAGCGGCAGCCGTTGAGTGGGCGGGGTAAAAGGGGGAGCGGGGCAGCAGCGACTCGGACAGCAGCCTTCACAAAGGAGCGCCTGATCGATCGGGAAATCGAGACTGCGAGTCGTTGATGCTTCGAGGACAGCTGGCAGGACGCCTGGGATGCTGTGCAGTGTCCCTGCTTGGGGACTGTTTCGAGTGTTTGTGTTCGTATGGGAACCCCGAAGAAGGGACCCTGTGGAATTCTTTCTTGAGGTTCCCTTGTGGCACAAGGACAATGCCTGGAGGGGTACTGGCCCAGAAATTGGCTCAAGTGTGGTTGATGGCCAGGCATTTGGCCATGCGTGTACACCAGTGTACAGTCGCCACGGGGTTCCCTGATCTGCCAGGGGGTGGCAGTCTGTGGTGCATTGCTTGGAGATGTGAAATCAATTAGCAACAGACTTTTTCAATGTTTGCATGGAATTCATGGCCATCCAGCTGGCGCTGTGAAGGCTATCGCATCCAAAGAAAAATACAAAGGCAATAGTGACCACCAGGTCTCTATTCGTGGGGTTTGAGAAGCATCATGGAGTTTATGGGGAGCCCAAATGTGTAGATGCAAGTGCTTATCATTGCCTTCATGATGAAAGTGCACTGTCAGGTGTTGTGACGGCGAATGTAATCATGGAAATCGGGATCAATAGTCTGCTGTGTGAGGTACAGTAATTTTTGATCTTCACTTGCCTCTGGCCCCAAGTAGTGAAGTGGTGCACCTGTGAGCTGGCAACTGGCATAATCCATGCACAGCTTTGGTGAGATGCTGTTGGTTTTGTTGTGAATCTTGCATGTGGGCATTTTGTATGGGTGGAGAATGAACAAATGGTGTGGATGTACCTGTGCCCATCGTTTGTTGCAAGGCCTCTGCTTTGCTCCACAAGAGCGAATATAGCCAAAGGGATTCTGTGTGGGGATGGGAACTGGACATTTTGTCAACAAGTTTGTTTACCTTATGCTGAAACTGCCGTTTCTTTACCGGTTCGCTTTTAGGGGTCAGAGTGCATGAACCACTGGAGATATACTACGCCTTTTACCAGCAAGCAAAGGCCAAAAATACTAACTGGATGCTGGTGAACTGCAGGCAAGTCAATGAAGCGTCGTGTGCTGCAGGAGCTGCATGAGACCACCAGCTTTACGGCGTTTGAGTTGCAGAGCATGATCAACCACTGGAGGGGGCATGGGGGCATGGAGAACGACCAAGTGGACAGAGGGGCCTTTAGAAGGATGGTCACCCATGGTGGGGTCTCATATGACAAAGTACTGGGAATCGCACTGCTGCTTCAGCTGAACTGACCATTGTAGCAGCTTTTAGAATTTGTTGTGGACCAATTGTGCTTATATAGTAGCAGACCAATCACACAGTTGTTCACAATAGTGCTGCATGTCCCAGTCAGCATAAATTTGCAAGGCACATGTCCTGAGTCTTGTGTATTTACCAGCCTGTACCTTGGCCTTACAGCCAACAACAATGCTCAGCACAGTGCCGTGTCATGGCCGCTTGGTATCTGACCAAGACCTAACAATGCATTTTTGCTTCCTCCAGTGTTTGGGGAGGTTGATGAAGATCTGTACGACAGCCTGTTCACTGCCATGGATGAGGACTGTACAGGTCGCATCGACCTAAAGCAGATCATCTGTGCCCTGTCCACAATCTTCAGGTAGGGAAAATGAACATGTACTGTAGAATATTCAACCCTTCCACTTAGTTACAGAACGCTGGGCCCTTTTTCGTGGGGCCATGAATAAAGAGTAATGGTGCGGGAGAAAATTGCGGAGCGACAAATATAATAACACTCTGCCCGGGTCCAAGAGGAGCAGGGTTCGCCGCAAACCACAGCACCGTTGGGTACCCGCGCTGCACTCAAAAGGCATCTGGAACTTGCCCCTGCTGCAGCGCAAATCTCTCTCAACTGCCAGTGGCGTCTGGCAGCCCCGGATGTACGAGTTGCTGTGTGGAAACACTGGCAATTTGAGGCCAGTCGAACTGCACAAGGTTGCCATTCAGGTGGCGCCCAGGTGGGAAAAGCTGGGAAAGACATCGCGAAACTTGGCATGCAGCTTCTATAGCCATCCCTGAACCTGTGGGACATGATGTGTTGCAGGAAAAAAGAAAAGAACACCAATGCTCTGACAGAAAAATGCAGCTAACAATTAAATTGTTCAATGCGGAAGGGTTGAATATTTTACAGCACTCAAATGTCTGAATGTGCTCAAAGACTGTGGATGGCATCATGCCTGTCATCAGGCTGAAGGTGCAAGGGTCTTCCTTTATCACATCTTGACAATGCATGCAAATGAAATGTCACAATTTGTGCAAGAAGATTGGCATATTTATTGGGACTTCTCCAGTGCTTGTCATCACAGTCAGACGTCGCTTATTGGGAAAGGAGGCTGCGAATTTGTCATGATTTGGCAGATGGAATTGTGGTGCCACAGATGGAGGCTCCCCATGTTAAGGAAAACGCAGTGACCATCCCCCTTGGAAAACAATTTCTTTGGCAGAAAGGGGAGGGTGAAAAGGAGGACTGCCAGTGTCTGATTAGACTATGAATCATCTATGCTTGAGATTCATTCTATGGCAGCATCTTGGGCAGGGGCATCCCCTTTGCTATGGGCCTAGCACATTAGCGGTACAGGCACCAAGCGTGCTTTGATGATAGTCAATGTCTGCACAGCTCAAACTTTTTCACCCATTTTTATATGTGTTGTTGTTTTGGCTTAATCGAAATAACACACCTTCTGGTAAGGAGGCAGACATCACTACCCTGCTTGCCTGATAAGAGCATTGTCAACAAGTCATTACATCAAAACCCAAGGAATGACAGCAACAGATTCTGGAATCCACTAGTTCCAACTAATTCTCATATTTTACAACTTTTAGGGGCCAGAAGGAGGAGATGCTCAACTTCTGGTTCAAGATGTACGATGGCGACCATGACGGGCTGCTGGCTAAGCCAGAGTTTGAGCAGATGCTCAGAGATGTCAACAATGCAGGTACTATTTGTCCAATCGCTATATGTTGGAGCACAGCATTCATGCCGCATATTTCCGTGTTGGGACACACTCATCTCAGGTGGGAGCCACTATAGCTATTCCTCCCAATCCCCATCAAAACACCAAGCTAGTGGGCCATGCAGGGGGCAGTGCAGTAACATATTGTGATGAATGCAAATCACAAAGAGGAAAAACACCCTCCCAGGTACCGAAGGCCAGGGGTTGCGTGCTGCTTCCTCGACATTTGGGCATGAAGAGCCAAAGAGCAGCAGACATTGAACCGCTCACTGGTTATACCCAGCTAGAACTGGCATCGTGTCTTGAAGATGCTTGCCTTTTGCCCATCAACGCTGCAAAACACATCCACTCATGCAGACTGCTGCTGCCATGGGTACATTCATGCATTCAAGGCAATGGACACAGAGGGCACGAGCACACAGAGAGTGTCAGGGATTCCACAGGATCTGTTCCTCAGCTGCAATGGATGGATAGAACAAGTCAGCTGTACTGGTATGGAATGCAAAAGAACTACTCACTCTGACAATCACTGACAGCAAGTGACACAGAAGCCCACTTCCCAATGTTAAAAGTCAGCACCATGCTTGGATGCACAGCTGCCACCGAGTGTTCGCTGCATCCCTGACAAGCATGGCACACAATGCATGCTTCAGCTCAGCAGGCTGGCCTGCCCAATGCAGAACGGGCCCTTGCCCACGCCATTTCCTGCAAGGTACAAGGGAGTGTGTGCACACGGAGTTTGGCATGCCATTGCGCTCCAGGCAGGAAAGCGATGGAGGTGTATGTCGAGGAAGTGTTTGAGGATGACAGAGGCCAGCCCAGCTGCGAGTCCGGCCTCAACAACGATGACTTTCTTTCCATCATGGTTGAGAACAACATACTGCCCATGTTCTTTACCCCCCACAAACGTAGCGATAGTGAACAGCACAAGGCGTTTGTGGAGATGGCGCCATCTGAGAGGGAGGTGCTGGCGTTGCTGGGTGCAGAGCTGCAGTGTGACGGCGGCAGTGTGCTCATACAGGTCTGAGCTGGAGGCAGCATCACTGACAGCGTAGTCAAATCATGGGGACAAGCTTAAATAATGGAAGAGAGGCAATGCATCCATCAAGATGCCGATTGCATGGCACTGCATTGAAAATGTTGATAGTTCCTGGACTGCATTGGAGCCAAATGATTGTCTGCAAATTTTACCAGTGCCACAGGTCAAGAACCTCCACTTTTTGGATCCCTTGGTGACTGTAGATACAGCTATCAGAAACACTGGAAATGAAAACTGCAGCAAAGCATCCCGTCACCTCGAGATGGGCAAGATTACTCTGCTGGGCCCCTGCACACGGCATTGCGGCGGCCCCGACACTGTGGGATCCACACTGGGTCAAAGCATGGCGCTTCTTTATCAAAAGAGGGGAAGCAAGCACTGTGCTTGCCCTGGTCTGATGCCTCCCAAGCTTGCAGATTCTGCCACTCAACACCCTTCCTTGCGCGAAGGGCACAAGACTTGCTCCAATGGCTCTGACTTGACTCTAACTTGATACCTTGCAGTTGAGTCTGTGTCCGCTTTGCATTAGACTATGCGCAGTTGTGGGTTGTACCTCACCTTTGGTGCTGCTGCCCTTGCTACTCAGGAAGAAGAGCACAGCCACTTCTTCTATTTCATCATCGAAGGCCTTGTGGAGCTGCAGCGCTCAGGGCATCGGCTGTCACTGCAAGGGGAGGGAACGTTTGTGGTAATGGCTGTGAGCCTATTCCTGTCCTTCCTGTTCCACAACTTCCGTTGACAATGAAGAGGCCAGGCCGCATCAGTGTTTTTGTCACTGCAATATCTGTGCAGGGTGTCAAAGCAGAGCACAGCAACACTGCACCTGACATCACTATTACCTGGCTGTCTTAATCATCCAATCGGCAAACCTTCACTTGATGTGGCATGGTAGTGTGCCTTAAAGCAATCTTAATGATTTTTGAAGTGGTATGTCTTCTTATTGTTCAGCGGAAGGGCTGGAGGGCAAACAAAAAATTTCGCTGTTGCTCAATGCCTTGCTCGTAAACAGTGATCCATCCAAAATCCAGAAGCTCACACCTGAATTTGCTGGCACTGTCCACCTAACCTTGCTGAAACCCAAGCAACAGACAACAGGGCAACATGGATCCGCTTTGGGTGTTGTACACCTTTTTGCACCGCCGTGTCTCAACAGCCCGAAATTCATCACTATGTGTTTGGCGCTCATGAGAACCTTTACAGAGACCTTAGCTGTGGGCCTTGTGGCACATGTTGAGAAGCACTTCTGAGCTTTTCATGCCATTGAGGCGGAGTGGCGCGCTCTTGCCTCTGTAAGACACTGGTCACATCAAGCACTGTTTTGATGCCCAATCATGTGTGAGGCTGCATTCACAGCATGGCAATTGCAGATGTTTGTAGATTGCCCAGGGCCTGTTTCAAGATGTTTGGTGGACAGTTGGCAGATGGTTCGTTGTGAATGGAAGGAAACAAAGAATTGTAACCCTGTGCACCCTGTGGTGTGGCTCTTGGTGGTTGCCCTCGTTATGTTAACAACTCAGTAAGTATCTGTTCAGCTGTTGGTGCATCTGCACATCCAGGATGAAACATAGCAGTTACTCTCTTGCTGTACATATTGATGCCTGGCATACTGATCTTGAGCAGCAAAATGGGAGAGGCGGTGGGGCATCATCTCATTGCAAGATAGAGTTGGAGGTTGGGCAGATTGGTATTGTGCCTCGTCTGGAAAACCATAGCGTGAGAAATTACTGCAAGGCCCGGCTATGTAAACTATAACAAGATGGAAACACACACCTCGCCCAGCACTTTCTTCGATGGTAGCCTGTGCGTTGTTCCCCACCCAGTCCCCCCTTTCTGATCACCCCCACCCACAGTCCCCCCTCCCCCCCGCTGTTTCCACCACCTCAGCAGTTGTGTGCAGTAGCTAGGGCGAGGCAGCGCTGTTTGATGACGTGAAGACACTGCGAGAGGATGGTACAGTGCAGTTCACCACCTCTGCCATCGTCTTGTCTGGCACCTCCCGAATTCTGAGGCTCAATATACGGGATTTTTATCCCCTGGTGTACCACGAACATCCCGGAGCAACAGAGATCGTTCAAAGGCTCGGCCGTGTCATGGTGAGCAGGGAATGGCTTCCTTTTCACTGTACTATATTTCCTATATGACCATATACATTTGTCATTGTTGGACTATCGGACACTGCTATGAATTGAAAGAATCTGAAATCTATAAGTATGGGAATTCCAATCTGTTTCTGACTATGTTGCGGTCGCATTGTCAGCCACTCATTCTTGCTCAGTGTGCCAATCCATTGGAAGGCACACACCCCAGCACAATTAGGGTACTATGTTTTGTGTTGCCACCACTGTAGTTCCAACAGAAGATCCACTCTCATTCTGCAGCAGAAATCGGCAGCGTGGCCTATGAATGTGTCCATCTGCATGTCTGCACCCCTTATCTCTACTGTTTTGCTGGCTCTGGGACTCTACACCTCGATTCCAGCAGCCTCAAAGCTGGACATACTTTCTGGTAACTTGGTCTTAATCCTTACAAAGTATGTGCACTTTTGCATCTCCATATCATGTCAAACAAACAAACAACACAGTTGGACTCAGGAGTGGCACAGTTTGAGCTTTTCAGGCTTGATATGAAATGGACGTTAACAGGGAAGAAGCGAATGTCTGTGATAGTGAGGAAATAGTTAGCACGAAATGACATAGACCAAGGCGAAGCCCAGCCACGCCTCATTCTCCTGGAAAGTCCACTGGATATTTCAACTGGCAGTTGGCATCCACAGTTGACAAGGAGAAAACTCTTGCCATGGCATCTCTGCACCCAATAGGTTACCAATGCACATGCACAGGCTGCAAATCGCCCACGAGTCCTGTTATCAAGAGCTGTCACCTGCTGACGTGGGTCACCACCTGGGATTGCCTGGCACCTGTTGGGGATGGGACACGGGATATGTGCTCTGCCAAGTCCCAACCAAGATATGGATTCCAAATGTGGGCTACGATATGCCATCGACTTGGGGATTTGTTGTGGAGGAGAGCAGCTGTTTCTTTGTTTTCTTTGAGGACGGGATGGAGGAAACGGATGGGACTGAACTCAACTGTTTTGCATGATCCAGAGTCCCCAAGCGGCTCCAGTGCCCAACTTTATGCCACTGTTGCCCAACGCAAGGGAGTGCTTGCTGTATTCAGGAAAGGAAGCCATGCCCTCAGATTGCCTAATTAAGGAGACAATGCCTGTCTTTCCCCTGTTTCTCACATTGTGACACTGCACCTTGATGCCTGTCAGATGGAGAGGTTTCAACAGACTGAGGAGCACCTGCAGGCTTTGCTCAGCAGTACCCCTGAGGCGACGGCCAGTCCACTTCGCCTGTCAGCCAGGGATTGGTCAGCATGGCGCAAGCGACTCACACGGCTCTGGTCCCTCAGGTGTGGCCACTCTCCATTGATGCCATGTCAATAATTGTAGTGCATTTTGGTGCAGACATTACTATTTTGTTGCATTTCTTGAAAGTGAAGAAGTATTGCTGTTGCATCTGCACGGTGCTGTCAGGCACGAGTCGCAATGCAGAGTGTCTGTTGACAGTGCCAGTTCCAGCTGCTGTTTTGATGAACACAGCACTGTTCCTGTAGCATAGCCCGGCAACAAGAAAAGGGCCAAGCAAAAGGCAAGAGGAAATTTGCAACAGCTGTGCCCAAGCACTGCACTTTTGCTTTGTGCTTTGGTCATGATTCGCTGCAGAGCGCAATGGCAGGTATCACAAGATCGGCAGGAAGGGGAAGATAGAGGTGACCCCCACCAAACAGATGGGGACAAAGGAGGACCTGAGTGTTGCATACTCACCGGGCGTTGCTGAGCCATGCACGTCCATTAAGAAGGATGAGAAATACGTGTTTGAGTACACAGCAAAGGGCCATCTTGGTGAGCAAAGATTCTGTGCTTTGCAATAAATCATGTCAACTGGACTCTGGTATGTGGAATGTATGTTTCATTACAGAAAAATAAAACACACTTCGTGCAGTGGGCGCTCCCCACCTTGGGCAAGACAATTTCAGATACTGTTCCATGTTTGTTGAGTTCTGTGGGGATCAGATCTTGTTGTTCAGATTGTCTGCCCTGCCTGAATATTTGTGCTGTTGGCAAATGGTCGAGTGCTTATGGATGTGGAATGCTCGACGTCTATTGACAGGTGTTAGGTCATGCAGTAAAATGAAAAATCAGAAAGCAAGACAGAGAACGGGCCAATGCAATCCTGTCAGGAGGGGATGCTCGTGAAAATGCAAACAAGGTCAAATACAAACAGGATGATTTCCTTTCCTCCTCTTTCTTTTTTGTGACCTGTTTTCCACCCTTAGAACGCAGCACAACACAAGAGTGACAGGAATCTTTGTGTGTGCCGCAGTTGGTGTTGTGACGAATGGCACTGCTGTTCTGGGTCTGGGCAACATCGGCCCTTTGGCAGCCAAGCCTGTCATGGAGGGCAAGGCAGTGCTGTTCAAGAAGTTTGCTGACCTGGATTCTTTTGACATCGAAATTGATGAGAAGGACCCTGAGAAGGTGGCCTCCCATCGGCAGTGAGGGTTGTGAAACTGGCGTGTGAATGAGACATGTTTTCCCAGTCATGCTTGCAAATACTCTATTTTGTGCACACAGATGTATGTACATGTGCCATACCCATAGCAACATAGTATATTTGATGTTGTTTTCACATCAATAAATTGTTGACATAAGTTGATTAAATTTGATGTCATCCTGTTCAGGGATTGCAGGGGTATGAATCGCAATTGTTGGTGCATACAATGCATGGAAAGAATGCATCAAGCAGCTTGCTGGCTTGACTTTGTAGAAAGAGGAGGTCTCTCCTACCCTCTCTGGGGAGTCCTTTCGGGGCCCTGTGGAGAGCCTTTCCAAAACATACTGCAGGCAGATCAGGGGGACACTGGCAGAAGTATGGCTGCATTTTTTTGGATAGTGTTTGCCACAGCTCAACTGCCACTCACTGCTGCTCATATGTAGTGGTGCTGAGCCTAATGTGATGAGGGCACACCCACCTGAAAGGAAAACAGATAGACAGTGTGGTAGCATGGACTGTTGTGAGACGACAAAGCTTGCCATGGGGATCGCCCACCTCAACAAGAATACTTGTCAGACTCAATTGTTTGCTGTGGATATTCTATTGTTAGTGAACCTATATTTCTGCGATGGAATTTAGTGCTACGTTATTGCCATTGCTACACCAGTGTTGTCCTGGCAAGCGCAGTCAGGACCACTCCACAACCATCACTGCAGCAGCTGTGTTGCACATCGTGCCTGCAGACTTGAGAACATTGCTGACACTTCTAGATTTGACAGCACTGCTCATCCATCAGTATGATGACATTGTGTGTACAATGAGTGCACGGTGATCAGCTAGAGTTGTTCAAAAATGCCACCATAGCACCGCTAAGGTTATGCAATATGATCCACATTGAACAGGATTTGATATGATCCCATACTGTGGAGCAAAACACTGTTTACAGTGTGAATACATTTCGGAGAATCTGACTTCTCATCAATGAACAATGTTAGCAATTTACTAAAGACTGACTCGGACATGGAGTGAAGTCCTGTGGTGCGACCGATTTGGCCAGTGTGGTGCTGATGTATCGGCATGACTAACACTGATGGGTGAGGCCTGTGTCAGTTGGTGGACATCATATGTGCCCTTGAGCCAACGTTCGGGGGCATCAACCTGGAGGACATTAAGGCCCCTGAGTGCTTCTATGTTGAAAAAGAGTGTCAGAGGAGAATGAACATACCAGGTGGGGGCCTGCTGCTGGTGGCAATACATTGGCAAGGTTCCATGGATTACAGCAAAGAGCTGTGCTGCAGCCAGTCGTGATACAGCACTGCACAGGCTGATGGTAGTGTAGTATTGGGCTGCTATTGATGTCAAAGATGGATTGGGCAGCCACTGACAGCTGTAGTGTATTGTGCTTTAACTGATCGTGATGGCAAGTTTGCCATTCTTGGTTTGCGAGAGGACAGCGCTGTTTGCAAATTTGCTTGAAAGTACATTTGGGTTTCTGTCCATGTGCTGATTGTTGGCCTGCATGTCATATTGCCTTGTATCTGTAATCCATGCACTGTACGCCTGCAAATGTTTCTTGGGGAATGTGGTTCAAAGTTTGGTGGTTTATAAACTTTGTTGTACTTTTCTGAAAACATGTCCTGAGAGTCTGTCCTGAGGGTCTTTCCAGTGTTCCACGACGACCAGCATGGTACCGCCATCGTGGCGGGCGCCGGCCTCCTGAACGCCCTTGAACTCATCGAGAAGGAGATTGCTGATGTCAGGGTGGTCGTGTGTGGCGTGGGCGCCGCTGGCTTCACATGCGCAAAGCACTTCCTGGCCCTTGGTGTGCAGCTCAAGAACATGCTGGCAGTGGATGCCGACGTGAGTGTGGTTTGTTGAGATGCATTCCTCAAAATTGGGTCCAATCACATGAGACCACTCCTCACTGCTCGACAACGCTCTGTGCCCTTTTTGGCTTTGAGTGCTACAAGGCCATCCACATTTGTGTTGGGTAAGTTTTGGTGGTGGCATCTGCTGGGAGGATGTTCCCGGTTATTGTGTTTATTGCTCCAGTGGCAGGTGATCCTCTTATTCTCAAGAACATCTTTGCCGTAGTTTAAAGTCTTTGTGGTCACATTTGCTGCAGCTAATGAAGTTGGGCTCTTGCACCAAGCTGACGATGACGGGCAGTCATGGTGTTCTTGTTTGCGCTCATCTTGCCCATCTGCAATTGCCATACACAGGGTGTCATCTACACAGGACGGGAAGATTTGGTGGATGGCAATTACCTGGTCGACTTGGCGGTTGATACGCCAAAGCGGACACTTGAAGAGGCTATCCAGGTGAGGGTAGGCACATCCCCATGTATGATGCAGGGCCTCGTTGGCCCTGTGGTTGGATCTGTCAGGAAATGACAGTGAAATGTTGACAGGCTCATGAGGAAGCCTGGCTGACAAAAGCATGCTCATTGCTAGGAGACGGTATGCATCGTCAACGTGGTTGAAAGGATAGACCAGCACGAAGTGCAGTGGTCACGGTCGTATCGCTTCAGGATGGAAACACCTGGGAGGCACTGGCCCCTCTTCTACCAAATGTGCGCATTGTCATCACATTGCTACGGTCCCTTGTCTTGCTGGTGTCAGCAATCACAGGCAGCATTGTCTTGGGCTAGTTTTGGGTTTGATATCGCTGCAAGCTTGACGAACCTGCATCTACCTACCTTTCCCCGTGCTAGGTCGCTGTAGCAGAGGGACATACAAGGGGAATCAGTTCGAATTGAGTAGCATGTCCAGTGAGAAAAATGAGCGTCAGAGCAGAATCACTAACACTTGGGAGGTTATTTTGGGCGTCGTATCTGCGAAGTCAACAGTGCGCAATAAAACCTCTGCCAACAACAGAGTGACTATGTTGTCTGTTATGGTTCGCCGCAGTAAACAGCCCCTTGCTGTATCTTCTTGTCAATTTCGCACATCTCATCCTCCAAACTTGGTTGCTTTTTCACAAGTTGGGGATTGTCGATTCGTCGCTGCGCTGTATTCTTATACTCCGGTCTGCTGTACTGTACCATATTCTTCCTGCGGTTTTATGTCCTGGCTTTTGAGTGCTCACGTGTGACAACTTCAAAATTGGTGCCTTTGGGCCTCTGCAGGGGGCCGACGTCTTCTTGGGCCTCTCAGTGGGGAACCTCTTGACCGAGGACATGATTCGGGCCATGGCGCACGACCCCGTGGTGTTCGCCTGCGCCAACCCGACTCCTGAGATCAGCCCGCAGCTGGCGAGGGCGGTGCGCGATGACGTCATCATCGCCACGGGCCGCAGCGACTTCGCAAACCAGATCAACAACGTGTGCGCATTCCCCTACATCTTCCGCGGCGCATTGGATTGCCACGCAAGGTGAACGCTAGCAAAGTGTACATGTGTGCACATTCGTTTATTCATTTATTTATCTTTTTACTTAGTTATCTATTTATTTATTTTAACAGAGTTTTGCGCATATTTTAGCAAGAAATTTTGAGCAAGAATGCGGTGAAAACAGGAAACAAGGGAACTTGAACGATGGAAGCCCTGTCAATTAACGCTGCCAGGGACTGATCTTGTACAGCTTAGGATGACTTAACAGGCAAAAATGTCATGGCATTGCTTGACAAAAATAGGTTCGCATGTCTGGGCATGGCATTTGGGGGACAAGAACTAGCTGGCGTGTAGAAGATGGGGCCAAAATTTCAAACGTTATCGTCTAGAACTGGCTGTGGGGCGCCAATTTGACAATGTTTGTGCCGCCCCCCTCCTAGGACACGGCACATGTCGCGGGTCACCCAATGGCGACGACCGAATCGCGGCAGGAGACATATCAATCACCAAAAAGAAGGATAGTAGTATTGCCTTTCTTCGCACATCTTTCAACAAAACACTTGAGAAAACACATGGCCACACAGCATCTGACACCATACCTTACCTGGACGGCTCACGGCGCCAATTGCTGCCTCGAAAGGGAATGGCAACATCATTGGAAGGACGTGCTGTTTCCCTCGCTTGTCAAAAACGTGTTTACTGACACGCGCACCGCATACACACACTAAGCTTTTTGGCGCCGTTTTCCACCAGTGTCCCTGACGCCTGGGGTTCGCCTTTGCGCAGAGCCATCAACGAGGAGATGAAGCTTGCAGCGACGCACGCCATCGCCAGACTGGCAAAGAGCCCTCCGCTCCGGCGGTCGGGCTCCAGCGCGGACTTGGCATCGCCAACTCTCCTACAGGTTCGAATCGTCGGACCGGCGGAAGTCAATGCAAAATTTGTATTCACTGCCGAGTCCATTTGATGTAGTCACGAGGAAGTAAATGAGTGAGTGGCCACGTTCGCGATTGTGTTACTGTGTTGCCGATTTACTGTCCATTGGTCACTCGTTAGGCGCACGAACTATCCTGACGCAGCAATCTTCGCAGTGGCGATCATGGCCTCAGGGCCTTGCGTGGCTTCTTATATTAATTGATTATTGCGATATATTCATTCATATTCCACATCGAGCCGATAACATGAACACGGAGCGTATCTGTACGATGCTCAACTCCGCAGGGCTCCCACAACTTGGAGGAATGCGTCTTCGGTCGCGATTACATAATCCCCAAGCCCTTCGACGAGCGGCTCATGGCAGAGGTGGCAACTTCGGTGGTGGAGGCCGCCATCCTGACGGACGTCGCGCGGGTGTGCGACATAAACGTACAGGAGTACAGCAAGAGCCTCGCCGACCTGTCGGAGACCATGAGAAGGACTCAGTGACTCCTGCACCGAAGTGCGACGACATTTTTGGGGACACTTTCTTCATTTTGAGGACATTCTGCATTTTCTCTCTATTTTCTCAACGGGGGATTTCTCTTTTCTGCAGCTTCTTCCTCTGATCTGTGCGGTCTTTGTTGCGCTGTGCAGACGCCGCAGTTCGAGCCTCCCGTGGTGTCGCCTTCGGTGCGGCGCTGCCAATAATGCGGCTGGTGGAGGTGAATGCACTGACGGGACAATTTCTGTGCGTTCCGATGACCACAGTACTTTGTCTTGGTAAACATATGGGGAGCTTCTTGCCCTTCACTGCTGCCTGACTTCACCCAATTTCGACGGATTTGGGGTTTGTTTGGCGCTCTCGCGCCGTTGCGTTCTTTGAGGCGACGTTCCAATGATGGGACTTGTGGTGGCTACAAGGTGGCCTCAACGACGGTATTATTTGGGCCCTTTACCACCAACAACTTTTTCTGGTTATTCCATGGCTATCATTGTGCTGCTCAATATCGCTGACTGCCAATCACTGGAGAAAAAGGGCCAAATAAGGCGTGTTCACACGTGTGCAAAGTTGACGAGTTTGAGTCATTTTCGTGTTTGGCACCCGGAACATTGATGAAAAGCATACATATGTGTTCGCGAAAAGTGCTATTTGGTCCCTTTTTTCCTAGTGAATGGCTCTTGAGGACTCCTTTGCCTTTCCACTCCACTTGCCGCATGCTGCTGCCTCGCTGGAACGTTGCTTTGATGCGTCACTGACAGCAATGGTGCTTGTGGCGACCATCAAGCAGATGCAATGACTTGGGCTTCTGTTTGCTCTTTCTCTTCCAGTGCTGGGGACGGTGGGGCTGTCGGTGCGGTGTTTGGCTTGGATGCCTGGGGAGGGGGAAGGTGCCATTCTCTTGGGCCGAAATTGGTGCAGCGCTCAGTGGACACCACTTTGGCCTTGTGCGCACCCAATGTGCCACCGGCGCGACACAGCGGCAGTCCGCTGGACGGCGCTGGCTATCGTGTTGCTCGCTTGCATCGACTTTCTTACTTTCATGCAATGTTGGTGCTTGCACCGCACGATGGGGCATTGCGCATAGCGCCGAGGCTCAAACTCACAGCTGAATTCCTTGGATTGCATATGCAAACACATGACAAAACGCAGCCTCGTACTTTGTAAGTGACGACAGGCATTCGGCCACACACACGAGCGCTGTTATGAATATTTGTCGGGAGCCACGTGCGCCGAAAACCACCCCACCAAGAATGACAATGACAGTGGCGCCACGAAAACAGCCGAACGGCCGAACGCACCACCCAGGAAAGGAAACCCCCTTTCGTTGGTTTTTGAACAGAGTGAGAAAGAAACAGCTGCAGTGGGCAATCAATACAAGGGGAAAGCAAGAGCGTAGCCGTAATGTACAGGCCCAAATAGAACTATCAGAAAGGAAAAAGCGTTGAAGGATGAGGTTTACAAGCTAGACCATGTGGACTTGCAGACAGACAGGAGTTGCGTGAAGAAAACAAGGCGTGTCATCGTTGTCCGGTCCCAAAAACTGTTCACCTGGCACAGCCATCCCATCCTGGCCCCAAACTTTGGGCCGGCCCTACCATCTGTTAAATAATGGTCCGCCCTACCGTCCGTTAAACAACCGTAAATTGGCGGAAATCGGGTCTGGGGAGCGTCAAGGAAGCATGACTAAAACTGCTAAAGTACAAGAACCAAAGAAAAAATAAAAGAAAACCGCCAAAAAATCCCAAAGATGCAGAAAACAAAGGGAAAATTGCAGATTATAACTTTCAAAGTACAAAACAAAAGGGAGAAATCAAACAAAACGGCATAAAGGGTAATATGGTGAAAAATATCGGAGATACGGTAGGGGATTTAATGGACAGTAGCATGTGGCCAGCGCCGATTTGTACCCCGAATATTGGGACCCAGCTCAGCTACATCCCAGACCACTCACAGTGCATCACACGCTCAGGCACCTGGTGAAAGCAGACGCGCCCGCAAGTACTGGGGACGACGCGGATCACTATAATAATGATTCTCCGAAACGATTTCGGAGAACATATTATTACCAAAAGAATGTCGTCCCGGTCCTCGATCGACAATACCCAGAATCGCCGGTCCCGTGACGCAACAGATCCAGAGTCGAGCACGTGTCGCCGGCAGAACAGATTGATCCATTAAGATCAGGCACAAGAATGATTATTTCCAAAGAATGGCATGGGGGAGGTCAAGCGGCGGAGGGAATAATGCCAAACCCAAATCGGGCATGGCCAATCGGCAATTGGATTTGGCGACATCCTCCAAAGTACTTGTTGCGATGATTGAATTGATCACAACATTTCAACCGCAACGCATCTCCATCAACGCATGTGCCTTCAGTACGCACTACGCTTTGCAATTGGAGTCTGTGCACGACAAAACGCCGGACATGTTTGCCTCCAAGTTTGTCGAGATCTTCGGTATCTGCATCGTCTGCACGGTGCTGGTCCCAATTTCCGGGCGTGTCTTTCCCGACAAAGTCCCAGTGGCCAGCGAGCGGCAGCCTCAGCCATCACTAGGGAAAAGAGGGCCAAATAATGTTCGAACGTGTACAAAATTTTCGGTTTTGGTTTACTTTTGTGTCCTTAGCGTGCAGAACTTTGATGAAATGTGCTTTATGTGTGTTCGCAAAAGCGTTATTTGGTCCTTTTTTTGCCAGTGCATGCTGTCTGCCATTCAGCTTTGAAGACCTCGGTCTCCCTGGCGGAATTTATCAGCAAATTCGCGATTTTTGTTCCAGCAAGCGATTGGAGCAAGTTCACGGTGTTTTGATATGGTTTGATGCATTGCACCGACCTTCTCAAGCAAATGCAAATCTTTGAGCACAGAGCAGTCATTGCAACTGTGAACACAGTGGATTAGTTGACTGTGGATTGCTACGCATGGACTAGATAATGAGTGAATCCGGCACATGAGATTGGGGTGGTGTGTACGCGTCTCGCACACATCCAACATGTTAGCCTCGGTAGCATTGCCATTCCCTATTACATCGGTCTCCTATCAATGTTCACCTAATTTTCGGGCTAACGCCCAATAAACGCTCGCTGATATTCCACCGTTACTCGATTGCACTTCGAGTCGATGCGCGTCGTTTACAGGCTTTTGGTTTTTACGTTTACGTTTACGTTTTTGCTTTTACGTTTTTACGTGCAAAAACGTATATTTGCAAAAGGCCCTATTTTTGCGGCTATTTTTACGTTTTTACGGCTCTCTGGGACGCCCAGATTACACGATGAAAGCTGCGTACAATGATCAGTCTTCCTCCATATCCAGCACCCGCAACACAGTGTCCACCTTGCCCTTGGCAAGAGCGATGATGGTGTGTAACAACAACTCGTTTTCTGCCCCTTCCAGGGCCTGTGGCTGCCATTCTCCGGACTCCGTAAGTCTGTATGTACTGTCCTTATGTACACCGGGCAGCTTTTACGTTGTATTTACGTATTTTTACGCATTTTTATGCGTAAAACGTAAATATGATCAGTTTTTACGGCATAAAAGCCAAGCCTGGTCGTCCACACAGGAGAGCGCTGTGGTCGTATCCACCGACCTGGAAATCGCAGTATTAATGCAAAAATAATAAAGAATATATGTTATATGATATAATATAACGAATATTCGTGGATTTTCTTTTCGTCCTTAATACGCCTTGGGTATTTTGAAAAGGATTTTCAACGATGCGCGCTTATCGGATGTCTGTTGTGTACCAAGTGTGGAGTGAAAGAAAATATTTTAATTGAATTAAAAATCAGAATCCATCAATTCCGCGGCTGCAGCCGTGGCTGCTGGGGCGCTTCCGGCCCGTGATCAATGCTGCCTTTGCGACATCTGCCGACGAAATTCGTCGCCGTGCGCCACTGAGTTTTTCGAAAATGAGAAAAAAAGGTGGACATGTGGAAGTCACCTTGGCGCTTCCCGAAAGTACCGCACGTTGAAGCACCCGCAGGATGGTGGGAGAGAATCTTGCCTGCGTAAATTTCTGCATGCCCACAGAAGACTCTCTTCAGCGCTGTTGCGCTCCTGAGAGAAGATGAACACTGGAGAAGTCATTCTGGAGAAGAAGTCCACAGCTGCGAATTCACAGTGTGAACATCTTGAAACGCGGGCGAACCTGCCTGAAGTTGCTGAACTTGATCGAGCCAGCTGGTTGGCACCTGCAGGTCATGTGCGCACCGGCGAACAGAGCCGCGGCACCGGCCAAGTGTGAATGCTGGCGAGCCTTGACGTCATTGCTGGCGGTGCCAGGACGTTGATGCGCAGGCATCGCCGCGGGCTGCCCCACGACAGCGCCATCCTTGTCGCGTCGACAGCGCCCGGTTTACCTTCGCATAGCGAGCGCATCGCGCTCCAGGACCTGAATAACGGCAAGCCATCATGACAGGCACCCCTAAAGCATCGCCACTTGGTGAGGGCTGTGATCGAGAAGCCACCCGCCCGCCATGAACTCAGCCGGAAGAAGAAGAACACCCTGAAGAAGCCGCGGGAAGGCAGCTGAGCAGGGGGGGGACAGCACCCTGCGGAGAATCTACCGTGGCAGGCTCTCGAAGATCGCAGTTCGAAATAGGACAAATGTGAGCGAGCATGGCGGTCATGGCGGCCGCCCAGCTGCACGGCGCTCCCACCAACAACGTCTTAAACCGGCGCAAATCCTGTCCAGCCTCCGGAACCCATCCGCGGCCTCCCCGGGATGGCCGGTTTAACAGACCGGGCTCATTCGCGCACAGCGGCAACGAAGGTGGCAGAGCGACCAATGCAGAGTGACTCTGCCAGAGTCACGGCTGAACTTCTCCTGGGGACGCCTGGCGCCCTGCGAGATGGTCGACTTGAGACCAGGCTTGGGGCCTGTGGGCGCGCAGGCGCACCCGGGGCAGGGCGCAGGTGGGGCGCTGTGCCCCGAGGGCCTGGAGGCGGTCCTGATGCAATCCGGATGGCCCGGACACGGCGAGGCGGCCAGGTGCGTGGCACGCGCAATCCACCGGCTTCCACGGCCGGCGGCTCGTGAATTGTCTGCTGGGTTTGATCAAACTCCGTGAATTTGGCGAGGTGAGTGAAAAAAGGCAAGGCGGCGGATGAGCCGGTGTTTTTCAGCTCTAGGAGCCTTCCTGTGCAGCGCGGTGCCATGGGCGTGGGCATGATTGAAGAATCGGACGCCCTGGTTGACCGCAAAGGTCGCCGATCTGCGACGCCGTGTTGCCACACGGCCTCAGCCGGCTAACAGGAAGCGCTTCGAGATCAAGGGCGATCTTGGGAGGCCCTATGGGGTGCCTTCCGCGAGGCGGCGGACCTTGGAAAACCGTTGTAAAGGGTGGCGGCTGACTTCGTCGTGTGACGCGGATTTTCGGCTGCCTTGCGCCGGCGCCGGCCGAACGTGGGTTGCACGACAAGCCCTCCGCGACGCCCATCGGACCGTGCATGGACCATGTCCATCGCAGTCTTTCTTTAACGAGATGAGCCTTTGCAACCATGCACGGCCACAACTTGTGGGTGTGTGGGTGCGTGGGGGGAGCTCCGCTGAGGCCTCGCTGGTGATGCAGCTCTGCGGTCTCTGCCTTGATCGCCGCGAGTTGTCATTGAGTCGACAGGAGCGCGGAGAGCGGGATTCGCACGTCGCCCGTTTTCAGGGTGGCCAACGCCTCCAGATTTTGGGGCGAGTGGCAAGCGCGCCGGTGGCTTTAAAGCGAATTTGCGCCCCTGTCGATGACTGTCTGGGGGCGGCGATCCGCTGACGAGTTATCCCGCTCAAGTTTCGTGGGGAGGAGCGCGGGCCCGCACACGAGCATGGGGATGGGATGGAATGGGATGGGATGGGGATGAAGGACTTAAAGGAGGCTTTAGAGGATGCTTTGAAACCTGACGCGCGGCACGGGCACCGGATCAGGCCGGCCGCTTTCAGACTCCGAGTCCGATCGACAAACCTGTCGAAATCTACTTTCCCTCCCAGCCTGTCGCCGGCAGGCGGCTTCACGCTTTCCAGGACGGCATCGTGCTTGCCGCGATCGGCTCGTTGGCCGCGGACCGCGGCGGGGTCTCCCAGCGCAAAGGGGCCGGATTCCTCCACACGGCGGCGCGATGCGCGCTCAAGGATCGCCGCCCGCGGCTCTGCGCGCTTGTCCGCACGCGGGGGGGCATTTCAGGCGGTCACTCCAGGCGGACCGGTCGCCCCGTCCTGTGGGCGACGGTCGCGTTCGCGGAAGCTCCCGCCGGGCCAAACTCCTGACGCGTGCCTCGCCAGCCCGTGCGGCACGGCACACACACGGCACGAATAGGGCGAGAATTTTGCCGTCAAGTTGCCCCTGGAAACTGCCGGGCCGTGCACATGACTAACCCTGCCTTGCATTTAACCCCAGAGATTCCCTACCGGGGACAATTCCCGGCGCACGTGACACGGGGCCTGACGTGAATGGGAGAGCTCCGTGGGGCCGCGGGGGGCTGAAAACGAATTGGCAAAATCCTCAGGGGCAGCTTCTCCGGGGACAATACTATATCCAGTCCGCTAAGTTGCTGGTGCCCATCAACCACGTCAGCATTCTGCCCCTGCGCTTGATCCCCCCCCCGATCAGTCCTGCCAGAAACTCGTTCAAACGCGCCCGCCTATTCAAACTCACGGCGTCCTCGCCAGGTCCATAACGCCGCCGCCCAACGCACCCGCCGTCCCGGCTGCGCCCTGCGCTGCGGCAGGGCCCAACCGCCGCATGGGGTCCCCGCTCTGGGGTCCAGTCGAAGGCGCTCCAAGACGATGCCCATGCCGCCCATGCCGCCGCTCTGGGGGCCTGTTGAAGGCGCACCGAGACGATGTCCATGCCGCCCATGCCGCCCGTGCCGCCGCCCATGCTGCTGCCGCCGTCGGCAAGTAGGGGCCCGCGCAACGACTGGAGGACGGCAGCTCACTTGAGGGACTAGGCGAGTGACGGAGTCGTGAAGAGTGTGTCTTGGGGTGCCATTCGTTCCGACTCACGCATTGGCTTATTTCCATGGGAGCAAGGCAAGACGACGAGAGTGCGCGGACACGACCGTGAGCAGCAGTGCTGGCGATGCATTGGGCCGGCATATCTGGGAGTCAGCAGCAGGCCATGGGCAGCAGTGCTGGGGATGCATTCCGTCGGCGCGATCATCCGGGCGGGGTCCTGGCAAACACCAGGTTGGTGCGCCGCACGTACATTTGGGCTTGTGCTGTCTGAGTGGTCATTGAACACTAGCGGATGGAATGCCACCCTCTTGCAGCTTTGTGGCAGGATGCAGGGCAGGGGCATGAACTTTTTGCTGTTCTGTGTTCTTCCCTTGCCAGCAGGTCCCCAAGCTGTTCGCTAACCTGGATTCTGGTCCCTCGGAAACAGCGCTCACCTGACCGTGCAATACTGCGTGTTGTCGGAGAACACGACGTGGAGAACTCCAGAACGCCGCAAGCATTGCACATGGCGCTGCCTGATGCCCATATGCTCTCTTTGGGACAGGGGGATCACACCCAGTGCTCTCCATTGCTGTGTGCCTGGTGCCCACTCAACCACTCCTTACGATCATGCCTGTCTCGTTTCTTTAACTTCTTCCCTATTGTTCACTTGGTGGCTGCACTGACAGGGCTCCCGCGCCAGGCAAACGGATACACAGCACCAGAGGAAGTGAGCCGGACAACAGCCTGCCACAGAACACACCTGAGAGTCGGCATATCTGAGAGTCAACAGGCCATGAGCTGCAGTGCTGGCAAAGCGTTCAGCCGGCATACCCGAGAGTCAGCAGCACGCCGTGAGCGGCAGCGCCAGCGATGCAGTCCGTCGGCGCGATCATCAGAGCGGGGTGCTGGCAAGCGCCAGGTTGGTGGGCCCCACGTACATGTGGGCTTGGGCTGTCTGAGTGGTCATGGAATACTGGCGGATGGTATGCCGCCCTCCTGCAACTTTGTGGCAGGGCTCAGGGCAGGGGCATAAAGTTTTTGTTGTTCTGTATTATTCCCATGCCAGCATGTCCCCGAGTTATCTGCTAACCTGGATTCTGGTGCCTCGGAAACAGTGTCCACCTGGCCGCACAATTGTTTTGCACAATACTGTTCGTTGTTGAAAAACCTGTTGCGCAGAACTCCAGAAAACCGCCTGCTTTTGCACGTGGCGCCGGCGGATGCCCCTGTACTCTCTTTGGGGCAAGGCGATCACACCCATGCTGTCCACTTCTGTGCGCCTGGTGCCACCCAACCACTCCTCCTGGTCACGCCTGCTTCGTTTCTTTATCTTCTTCCCTGTTGCTAACCTGGTGGCTGCACTGACAGGGCTCCCACGCCAGGCGAGGGGACGCACAGCACAAGACCAAGCCAGCCAGACAACAGCCTGCCACGGCGCCACGCCGGAATGTTGGCATATTTGAGAGTCAGCAGCAGGCCATGAGCAGCAGCGCTGGCGATGCATTCAGCTGCCATATCTGGGAGTCAGCAGCAGGCAATGGGCAATAGTGGTGGCGAAGCATTCGGCTGGCGTATGTGGGAGTCAGCAGCACGCCGTGAGCGGCAGCGCCAGCGATGCAGTCCGTCGGCGCGATCATCAGAGCGGGGTGCTGGCAAGCGCCAGGTTGGTGGGCCCCACGTACATGTGGGCTTGGGCTGTCTGAGTGGTCATGGAATACTGGCGGATGGTATGCCGCCGTCATGCAACTTAGTGGCAGGGCTCAGGGCAGGGGCATAAAGTTTTTGTTGTTCTGTATTACTCCCATGCCAGCATGTCCTCGAGTCATCCGCTAACCTGGATTCTGGTGCCTCAGAAACAGTGTTCACCTGGCCGCACAATGGTTTTGCACAATACTGTTCGTTGTTGAAAAACCTGTTGCGCAGAACTCCAGAAATCCACCTGCTTTTGCACGTGGCGCCGGCGGATGCCCCTGTACTCTCTTTGGGGCAAGGCGATCACACCCATGCTGTCCACTTCTGTGCGCCTGGTGCCACCCAACCACTCCTCCCGGTCACGCCTGCTTCGTTTCTTTATCTTCTTCCCCGTTGCTGACCTGGTGGCTGCACTGACAGGGCTCCCACGCCAGGCGAGGGGACGCACAGCACAAGACCAAGCCATCCAGACAACAGCCTGCCACGGCGCCACGCCGGATAGTTGCCCTTACCTGTTCAGTCAGCATGTTTGCTAAAGACGAAATGATTTAGCGTGTGTACAAATGAGACGTCGTTGGTACAAGGTACGAACAAACACTGTCAGAGGCGGTGGGATTCATCTACCCAAGGCGCTCCTTGGCTGCTCCAAGCACCAGTTCCACTCCGAGTGTGGTAGCAATTCGTCTTCGAATGGAGGCCACAGAATGCCCCTCAAGACAACCAGGTGTTGATAATTGTGCTGATTGGCGATTGTGGCAAGCAAAGGAGCCATGTGTGGATGTGCAGATTGTGGTGGGAACGCATTCTGGACCCCTATGTTGGAGACGCAGTGATGGGTGCTACTCTGACGCCAGCTGAAAACATGTGATTGTGCTTGTATGATGTGCTGGGTATGCATGTAACCATTCCATCTTGGGCTCGCGCTCCTCTCCAGAGGGCTGCTGTGCCAGATGTGCATAAAGAAGGCCATGCGGCAGGGCATCGTGCTGCACCAGTCTCACCCTATCGGATGTGGGCCAGCACCACCTGCTTAGAGTCTTATGGGCCCTGCTCGTAGACTACAGAACCAGTCTCAGCGAGACCTGATCTGGCTATTGAGAGAAAGAGACACAGGGCCATACAGTCACTGGGCCGATGCATTGTAGGCCATCTCACAATGGGATATCTGACATTACTGGAAAAAGCATGTGCTTGTATAAAGTCCAGGTCACTTATGCAACCATTCTGTGTTGGGCTCAACTTTGTCTGGCCCTTGTGAGCGTTTAGGCCCTAGCGAATCCAAAGTATGATCTGGGATGGGAACAACATGCAGCTCTCCATTACAGCCTTCAGTAATGGCAATGATCTTTTTCTTGTCAGCACTAAAGCTTGCAGTTGAACTTGGTGCAAAGTTACAGGGTTTGATGGCATCGGTGCACATATCATCAGTTTCAGCGATTACCCACAAGAATATTTTGCAGCAAGTTCAGTCAGACATATGCACTGCTCAAACTGAATATTCGTGGCATACGACATATTGTCTACATTCCCGCATAATGGCTGCCTGAGTGGTGGCCACTCATGCAACTTTATATTTCGCTGTATATTATGCACACTGTTGCAATGATCTCGCTGCGTAGGAAGGCCCCAGTATGCCACAAAGACAATTGCACGAAGAAATAATGCCAAAAAATGAGAGGGCTGTGACTAGGCATTATAAGCACCCACAAGAGCTGCACCAATTGCAGACAAGGAAGAAGAAAAGACAACAAAAGGAGAAAATACAAGGTAGCAAACAAGAACTTTGAAGCATAGGGGAAAAGCTGCCAAGACGTTTAGGAATTTTACAAAAATCCAGTGAGAGGATGTGTGATGGCCTGATTTAAGAATTCCATCTATGGCAGTCATCATCTTCCCGAAAGCGTTTGGTCTCAGCTTATGAGATGTCCTGTTACGGTGAGTATTTGCAAGGGCCAATGAAGTTGTTGAAAGGAGAATAATATTGGTTTTAGGACAGGTCGTCACGTAATATGTTCTGTAAAGGTATCATAGCAACTGCATGATGTTTGTTCTGTCCCATAAAACACACTCCCTGAACAACTGGACATGCGTCTTCATAGTTCATCGTAGTCCACGAACGATGAATTGCCATATTCCATAGTAACACTCCCTGTAGACCTTGACGCAAAGGCATGATCTGCCCGACTGCAAGATTGTGGCATTCTTTGTCTTCTGCCATATGCCGGAGAGTCACACTAAGAAAACTCGAAAAACATTTTTTCGTTCGTCAATTCTGGATAATTCCGTAGCTTATCGTTCAACTACACCAAGGGTGTACGCTTGCAAGATATTGAAACGTCAATGTTTCTCCAGGGACTTTGACTGGGCACTTGAGTAGAGAGTCAGACTTTCTTTGGGAAGATGACTCCCCACTCACATTTCTTGTGCACCGATGTCTGGACAGATTATTTGGACAGCCTTGCGGCAATGATAACTGAAGGTGTGAATGTGATGGGAAAGGAAATTCAGGTGAACAACTTGAGGCAACGTGAGTTCTCAAGTGTGCCGTGTCGGTGTCTCCTTCAGATTAGCACCGGATACTGCGGGAAACACTCTAGTACGATTGGAGAATATGCGAGGCCTGTCTCCGTAGGGGACCAACTGATTTGTTAGACCCACTGATCTGCGTGACCCGTGCGGCTGACCGCGGAAACTGGAAGATGGAAAGTGTATTGGCAGGAAGGTGCGAACTTCGGTAATGTTCGGAATTTTGTGCTGTGCTGCGTCAAGCCCTGTGGAGTACGAAGTTGCTGTAGGATGCTGCGGGAAACAATCTATTATGATTGGAGAATATGCGAGGCCTGTCTCCGTAGGGAGACCAACTGACTTGTTAGACCCACTGATCCGCGTGACCCGTGCGGCTGACCGCGGAAACTGGAAGATGGAAAGTGAATGGGCAGGAAGGTGCGAACTTCGGTAATGTTCGGAATTTTGTGCTGTGCTGCGTCAAGCCCTGTGGAGTACGAAGTTGCTGTAGGAAGGTCCTGTGGGAGACATTCCATTCTGATTACAACAGAACAACAGGACACTAGTGACCGATTGACCTGCGTGACCTGTGCGACTGACCGCGGAAGATGGAAGATGGAGGATGGAAGGTGTGAATTTGGTATGTACGGAACCTTGTACTGTGCTGCGTCGAACCTTGTGCAACGCGGGTATTTGAGCAAGAGACCTTGCGTTTGAGGCAGGGCTCGAACGGAGACAACCGGTTGGACTTGTGACAACCTTTCGCAAAGTGTGGTCTCCATTGATCGTGTCGCCAACAGTTTGACGCGGCAATCCATTGATGCTTGCATCCGGAAGCAAGTGGATCCACGCCGCGTTCCAGCAGTGAATCTACGCGGGAAGAGCGCAGCACGCCTCAAGGTGAGTACGAACAACGTGAACAACGTTGTGCAAGAGCGTTGTCCTGTCTGTGCTCTTGTACAGCAGGTGCACGTATGACAGATTTTCAGTGCGCCGAATGTGATTCATGGCGACAGCAGCACGAATGCCAAGCGCCAGGGGCCCTGGAAGGTTGAAGGGGCGACAGCATGCCCGCGGGCTGCTGCTCTGAGTACACGCCCCCAGTGGGGGAGAACCGCTCGTCCGCGGCCATCTCGCCATATGTCATGTTTGCGGCTTCTTCGCCTGTAGCCGGGCTGGGCGGCGTAAGGTGCCCTTGCTGCAAGATAACGCGTTACTGGCCGGAGAAGAACCGGTGAAAGACCTAGGTGCTGCCAATGTATGCTGCCCGCTCCATTCGTGTACGCCAATGGAAAAATCGTTGACCAAACGACGCAGCGGTTTGCGCTCTGTGAAACGGCGCCATCCACAGATGTCTGCTTTGGATGTTGGTAGCACACATTTGCGCGTGTGAGCACGAAAACCATACAATGGCAAAAGCTGGAGCATGTTCGTTGTACCACTGCACATATGCCGGAGGCGCTTTGAGTCCACATACAAATCGGTAAAATGGCCAAC